AAAAGTAGCCTATGTGTTCTTCCAGACTATCCTATACGTCTATGCCAAATTTCATCGAGATCTTTTGAGTAGTTTAGACTACAAACTGTAAAAAACATCCATCTAAACTTTTGTATTTATAATATTTGAAAGATTGATAGATTGTAATTGTTTATATTGTTTTTTGTTAGTAATATGATATTAAGAACATTACTTAACAAGTCAAAATGAATCAGTCAATAGACTATGATTGTAATCTTAATTTAAACTACAAGTTAGTTAAAAATTACACGAAAAACAACAGAATTATTTCTTACGGGGATTTAGTATTGTTCAGTTGTGGTCTAAGAATTCACTGTGACATTGAACTAAGTACATTTCTCACTTGAATAAACAAAACCATATTAGACTACAGCAAATAGAGCACAGCCTTTTTATTAAACTTTTTGTTTTCAATAAACTTATACGTATTTGTGTTGTATATTTACACATTTGTATGAGAACTGTCTTGAATTACATTGAAAAAATAGTATTTATCGAACTAAATGTATTCTCATTTATATTAAATTGAACATATTAAAATCTAACAGCCTTACAAATAAACGCGGTATATAGTTAAACTTAGGAATAAACTGAGTATATATACTAGCTTTCGCCCGCGACTCCCTCCGCGTGGAATTAAAAAAACAAAAGTGAATAGCCTATGCGTTCTTACAGACTATCCTCTACATCTATACCAAATGACATCGAAATCCGTATAGTTTAGACTACAAACTCTAACAAACATCCATCCATCCAAACTTTCGCATTTATAATAGTAGTATGAAGCATGATAATAACCTTTACTTGACTTGTCATATTCGGATCCTCCAAGTCATTTTTGCTGAGGTTGATTCCTGAAACAGAAATAGTTTATCCACTATTATCGAACATAATATTAACGAGTAAAGTCTGAAATAATTTCTAGTATTCGATTATGCTGAGTACAAAAACTATCGTAGAACATGGTACATTAAGGGGGAGTCATATACAGGATGATTCTTATATTTTGAATGGCAGAAAGCCTTAATAACAGTAATTTAAGACAAAAGTATATTTTGCGATTTTCTACAAATCTAAAGTTATTACGTTTTTTAATTATTTTTTTTTCACTTAAGTGATAACCAAAGGCAACACCAACATTGATTAGGCTTTTCCTAGTATGGTTAATGAAGGACTTTTTATATCAAATCAATATTGATAACTGACCTCTGAGTAGATTCCTGTCCTGTAGCCAGCTAAGACTGGTGAGGTCGTCATCATGGTCCGCGGGTGGCAGATTTCCAGCGTTGCCGCATGCCACTCTGCTAGATATACCATCACTTTAATATAGCTAAATGGTATAATATCAAGATAATGGCATGGTAAAAAGTGTTTTTTCTTACTGAATATTAACACTACATTAACAAAATCATACTAACATTGTAAATGCGAAAGTTTAGATGGGTATATGCATGTATCTTAAATGCCTAAACGGATCTCGATGAAATTTGACAAAGACGTACATCATAATCTTAACATAGGATACTTTCTTTTGTTTTTTAATTCCACGCGAACAAAGTCGTGAATAATTTTAAGATTTTATGGTTGTTTACAAACAATAATGTGATATTAAATAAATTATATGTAAACAGTTTTCCTTCGATCTATTATTGTGGGTAAAAGGAATTAAATCAGTAGAATTTGTATTTTACATATAACTAGAATTAGCTCGCGACTCCATCCGCTTAGAATATAATAATACAAAAGCAAGTAGCTTATGTGTTCTTCTAGACTGTTCTCTACATCTATGTCAAATTTAAACGAGATCCGTTCAGCAGTTTAGGATACAAACTCTAACAAACATCCATCCATCCAAACTTTCACATTTATAATATTAGTAAGAAGTAAGACATCGTTTTTATTTTTTTTATTGTTTCAAACGAGTACAACTAATAATACTTTATTAGATAACAATTATTAGAAAATCCGATCATATAAAGGCGAGACGCACAATGAAATATTTCAACAGACAGTTTTTTTTATTTTTATCCAAAAGTATGCGAACATCGATCACGTGTGGAAAGCCACAAGGTCAGTCGTCTTACCCGGTAACCTAAAAAATTGATAAAGCCCCTATCAGACGTACGACTATCATCCATCATAAACTTAAATCGCGACAAGTCGACTTTAGGTAATTGAGTTAGATTAGAACAAAATATCGCACATTTCATGAAAGATATCAACATGCAATTCCTAACATGATAAACGTATGGCGCCTTAATCTTATAAAAATAGATATATTTTTTTAATATACATTAGCTCCTACAATAAACAATTTTAAACAAATTTCGTATTTTTCAATTTCACTTTGTTAATAACATAAAGTCAAAAAAGCTAATATAAATAATAGCAAATTATTAGTTTCGTCACATTGCAGTACCAATAATTTAATTTAATTTTTTTTTTATTTACAGTCTGGACAAAGTAATAAAATTTCTGTAACATTACGGTATATTACTATGAGAGATTACATTAAATATAGCAGACCTAATATAGGTCAAGGTAATAAATTGAAATCAAATCAAATAACTAAACAGACCACACACAAACTGTGAAAACCTATTCAAATATTTCACGTCAATTCGTTTCAGTGACAAACTCGTGTAAACATATTAGCGATTTGAGCGTGAAGTCGTGTTTAGCTTTTGTATTATGAAACGTAAACGTAGGCTCTCACGCCTGAACAAAAACATACTTGATATCTCTGTATTTTTAAGGAAAATGAGAGGGACAGCATGTGATTGCAATGTTTCTGTATTGTAAGCCTTTGGTAAACATATTCATCTATGAAGGTGCATGGTTACAGATTTTACACGTGACTCATTCGATTGAAATTCAAAATAATATCTCTACATCTATACCAAGTTTCGTCAAAATCCGTTTAGCTGTTTTGGCTACAAACTCTAACAACCATCCATCCATCCTTCTAAACTTTCACATTTATAATATTAGTATGACATAAGGGTCTGTCCCACAATTCTTGTAAATTGTCAGATAACAATCCAACGTATAAAATATGTGATGGAAGTATCGGATTTTGGTACTCTATCTTGTGATGAACAGTGACGTCACTTTTAAGCTACTCGAACCTCTATCAGTCAGTGGTGGGACAGGCCCTTAGTAAGATATATTTTCTTATTGGTAACCATTAACAAATACTGCGTCTCGATCATATCAATTATGCCTTTGCGACTTGATGTGTTCATGTGATCTATGAAGGAATTGAAAATTGACATCTCTTTTATAGATACTAACGCTGGCTGCGGGGTTTCCATATCGGAGTCATCCGAGTGTCCGTCGATGTCGTCGAAGTTGTCTATGACCTTGCCGGAGACCTCAAGGCGGCGCAACGAGCGGCCGCTGGATGCAACATGGCGCGCTATCTGCCGGATCAGCCGGCGCGGCAGGGGCAGGGAGGCGCGCGCGGCTCGAGCCGGCGACCCGCCGCGCTCGCCACGCATTGGCGCCATCTGCCGAAAAACACTTGTTACAACTGGACGTTATATCGTGAAGACATTAACAAATGCTGATGAGAAGTTATTTACAAGATTTACGGGATATTAACTGTTCAATATCTGCAGTGCAATGAGTGAGGTATTGTAGATCATATCCATTATGCATCCGCGTCTATTTCTATATGAGAATAAGGTAGCAACGCGTCTAAAATTCCTCTGGTTTTCGCAGACATTATTGCGTTATCAAATAAAATAATTCGCTTACGCTACTATAAAATCGAATCTACACGTGAAACCGCGTTCGATAATCTAAATACATGCATATCACGATGAATTCACGTTCAAATAATGCTATTATCAAATAGCAACTTTCTTTTAATAGAATAAACTATAGTGAAGATCTAATCATTACAGAAATATTTTAAAGTCCCCTAAATTCCTTTAACAACGTAGATAATATTACTGCATTCTTGATGTAATCAACTACATGTCACATCTATTTTAAATCATAAACATTAAAGCATATGAACTATGCTTCATTTATAATTGCTGCAAACATTAAAATGCGTTCCAATTCAACAAACTTTGGAACAATAAAGTCAACTATGTATTAGACCTACTGGAGTATCTTTTCCGTGTTTACAATAATACAAGACTAAAAAAATTCGTTCGATGATTATAACTTTCTTTATTTAATTACTATCAGATTTTAAAGTATAGACCTTATATAAAGCTAATCTGCCACACTTACAATAATAAGATATATTTGTAAATAATTTACTCGTTCAAATTCTTTACAATAAACTACTTTCACCGTTCGCATTTCTCAGTTCTAATCATTAGCACCTTGTTATATGCGTGGAATTAAACAAAAACAAGTGAGAAGCCTATGTGTTCATCCAGACTATCCTCTACATCTATACAAAATTTTATTAAAATCCGTTCAACAGTTTAGGCTACAAAAAAACATCCATCTAAACATTCGCAATTATAATATTAGTATGAAACATGATAATTTTTACTATTTTCTTCAACTTAAGTTTTCTATTTACGTAAAACCTGACGTCTTAACAGTTTCCGCCACGACGTTTGCAGATAAAATTTACGTATCAATTGATAAGTTTTCTACCGTAACATACCACATTTTTAAACGGTAAACCATCACGAGATATATCGTTATCTCAGTCATTTCAAAGGGAATGATAGAGATGACAAGTTTCGGTAGACTTAAATATTTACGTAACATGTTTCACATTCGAGTTTGAGATGAACGTTATCTTCATGTATTATCGCAAGAAGTAACAATCAAATAACTAACGTCCTTGTGGGAACAACGTAATAAATATCGAGATTTCAGTTATTTTCTTTGTTTTATTCTATACTAGCTTTCGCACGCGACTCCGTCTGCATGAAATTAAAAACAAAAACAAAAGTGAGTAGCCTATGTGTTCTTCCAGACTATCCTCTACATCTATACCAAATTTCATTGGGATCCGATCACTCGTTTAGGCTACGACACTAACAAAGATCCATCCATCCATCATAACTTTCGCATTTATAATTTCGCATTTGTAATACAAAAGGGTCGTTGAATATTGCTACCTTGAGTGAAAGGTGAACGGCAAGTGCAGAATGACTTACAAAATTACAGCAAGAGTGAAGAGGTATTTAGTAAGGAAGTACTATGAATCATACAAAACATAATTTAATACTAGGTTTCGCGTTCTCTGGTCATTGTAACAGGAGAAATATGACACGGTAGGGAAGATGGAGTAGATATGGTTTAAGAATCTTTATTTATCGTAATAGTAACCCACTTTTCTTAAGTAAAAACACTATACAGTTTGATAATACATTCCTAATAGTGAAAACTTACTTATTACAGTTTGTTTATATTGGAATTTAGTGCGAAATATTTAGCTTTATTGCGTTAGACATAGTTTCAGTTAGGTTAGGTCAATAATTTCGCCTGGCTACAGTCGGCCTTGATTTTCATCCGCAGTATAGTATGTCTTATTGCTTGGAATACTATTAGTTAAAAAAACATAGTTTTTTTGAATAGTTACATCATGCCCGGGAACATTAAACATTTACAATGTTACATTTTCCCAATAATTGTTTAAAAAAAAACAGAAATAACATTTAAAAATTCATTTGAAGACATAATTTTATACGCAAACAAACGTAATTTTTATTTATCAAATTCTGCGGTCACCCCGCGCCGAACGAGGTTAGGTATCATCCGTTTTAAAAGGAAATAACACCCCACAAACAAAGAATATAACGTTTTTAATTTAATAACAAGAACAGTTAGCAACAAAGTACAGATTATAGAAAGCAATGACTGTAAATATAACTTCAAAACCGACTACCACATATACACTTATTTCCGACGACAGAGAATACTGACATTCCACACGAAGTCAGGGAGAAGTAAAGGTAGAGTAGTAGTAGAACATCTATTGATATGGATGGTTGTTTGTTAGAGTTTGTAGCTCATACGGGTTAACGGTTCCCGATGAAATTTGGTATAGATGTAGAGGATAGTCTGGAACAATAGATAGGTTAACCACTTTTGTTTTTTTTTTATTTCACGAGATTAAACTCGCGAGCAACTGCTAGTTAGCTTTAAAAAAGGACGTTAGTGACCGCCTTATTTCCACCATATAAACCATCAATTCATTCACCAATCACTTCATTCTGGCGCAGAATTCATCATCAACTTTTCACTGAATTTGCCGTACGCCTTTGCTCGGAGATGAATTGGAAATAAGTTACTTTGGTACCGTGATTTAACCGTTTCTAGCTCATAGTGCTGCATACATTGCGCGTCACTTGACGCCGGGTGGAGTCGCGTCGTAGATACCGCGCGTAGGATGCACTCACTAATAGAATATTCAAACGAGATTCTATCCTCACTATAGTTGGAAAATCCAATATAAAACCAATTTCAACTTGTAAACATTGTACTATTATAGCTACTTACTACACTGTAAACTGAACATTACGACCATAAACCTATTTAGTTTTTATTTCTTTGTATTAGGGTTCTTTAAGAAGTTGGGTTAATGGGTTTTGGCTTGCGACCACCCCCTATACAAAACATGATTGATGATATAATAGGTACTAAATCGGATTATTTCGCGACAAGTATAGGACTAATTTGATTACGTCGATCAAGAATAATGGGCGATACATTTTACTTCATTAAAATCAATATATCAGAACGCGGTGACATTTGGAAGCTAGAAAGGGCACCTGTGACGTCACGCGGACCGGATGCAGCGCTCTGCTTCCGGAATCGATGACGGTCAACATACGAACGTATATGTAATACGTAGAACTTATACTTTCACATTTACGACAGTGAGAATTTCATTCATACAGACATCATGGATGGAGGAAATCAATAACAAAGTTAACAAAGGTAAATGTTATTCGAGAAAAGTCTCTTTAGAGTAATGGAGATTATGTGGGTGTCGTTATTAAAACCGTAGGTGAGCTTCCTCTCGAGCAAAGAAAGATAAAAGATTATTTTCAATCTGAATTGATTTGATTCAACGCGTGCCATTCAATATTACTTTCTTTATATATTTTTATATATTTATAATATAACCTTTGATTGAACCGCACTATTCTCGTGAGGAATCAAAGGGAAAAACTCTATTGACCTTTACTGGACGTAATAAATAAAGAGCAAGCAAATTCACGATTGAACAAAGAAAATATTCAAAACAATTTAATTACATTTTCATTCTCAGACCTAGCTTTAAAAAATCTTACATTACAATAATACAAAAGCTATTACAAAAAAAAGACTTCTACAACAATATATCACGACCGTAACCCAGAGGGGTAGGCAGAGACCGCGGCCTTTCATTCTTTTACGTATCATGCACGTGGGTTTCGTTTGCACTAAATGCCGTTCTTCTTGAGTATTTCCTACTAATTTTACAATTAATGACATCTTAAACGACTTGACGACATTTCAACTCTATCATGTTTACGTGTGACAAAAATAACCAGTTAAAACTAGTTTTTAATCCATGATCATAAAACTAAGTTGAATTCCTACATATACGTCAATACACGTGTTCATAATAATTAAAACAGGTTCAAATAACTTCATCGTAAATTGAAACAAACATCGTTACGTTTATTATAATAAAATAGTGACACTAACAGATTTAAGAATTATGTAAGTTATGATATAAGAGGTCCGAATTTATCACATTTTTTATATCAATATAGATTAGAGTTAAATAGTCGAATACCAATAAACCTTGTTCACTTGTTCTAATTGTTCGAACTTGTTCAAATAACAAGACAAAGTACACTTGTTAAAAATAATTACATTTTTTTTATATCATAACGTGGCAAACAAACAATCGGCCACTGAATCCGTCAATTTAGCGAACCGACCGCTGCCTATAGACATTCGCAATAGCGAATGGGTTGCCTACCCTTAAATGATGGAGGTGGAAACGCACATAAGAGGATGTTTCGCCTTCCTAAGCGTCTCCTCCACCGTCAAATCCACGATCCCTTCCCATCCTTTTCTTATAAGAAAAAGATACTAAAATTGTGCCTCAGACACCACACTCATTAAACGAAACGCGCAATTGCTCCCACTTCACGCCTGTCGCCCCATTCGTGCGAAGTCAAAATTTGCATAGTAGCAAAAACTTTCAGTTTTTAAATAGGAAAGTATATCAAGACAATACCTAACTATAGATATGTAGTATCACAAAAAATGTGATCTATCATGAGGAATACCTTGGCAGCACAGATTATCAACATAATGCAGAAAATACTAAAGAGTTGCCATTGTTCCATCCTCTATATTATGCCAATGGAATAGGCTATTTTGTGTTATCCAACTCAAAAAAGAAAAGAGGTTCTACATTCAATTGATTTTAACTCAACGTCATATTTCCTATTTTATTAGTACTAAAATGACTGTATAGTTAGTTTATATGTGTTTCTTCTAAACAAAAAAAAATGTTAAAGCATTCCTACATGCAATTAAAAGTAATTACAAACAATTATGGACTTAAAAGGGCACATAACAATGAAAGTTTGCAACTTGTTTTTTTATTCTAATAATAATTAACACACTCAGTGCCAGTAACATTAATCTCTGAATTGTTTAAAAACTCATATCAACAAATGCTTTGAATATCAAAAGCTTATACTTCAAGTACATATAATCCAGAAAAGTCAACAAAAAGCAATACATACATTGGGAGGATGGATAATATCCGCAAAGTAAGAGATTTATAATCAGACACGATTTTTCTAAACAATTGAAACTAAGATGGCCTTTTGATATTGGTATAAATTGTCTACCAACAGTATTATTTACTCCTTAACTTTAGGCTCTATCCTATTCTCTACTACTCTATCTAATTAAAAAATATAAAATTTTTGTGATGTAATAAAATTATAAAGAAAATAAATTAGGATATAAATTTATCATATATCATACAGCTGAAGATTATGTGGCCTTGATATGATTGATATAATTTTAGATATAGATATATAGCTTGCAGGTGATATACATAATTCTGATATATGGAACCAAAATTAAATAAATAATAACATTAAAAAAGTGAATTAAACATTACATTTAAAACTCCACTTTAGACACGGTTTTCTTGAAAAATCCTTCAACTCTTTCCAGTTTACATAAATTATTCTTCAATGTAGCTTTGTTAGTAGTTAAGAAATTTGTTAAAGTATTGAGTAACTAGCATATTGTTTTTCAGAGACAGTATATTTTTAGCATCCAAATAGGAAGTGTGAAGTGAAAACTGGGCCACGCTAAGGTCTAGATTCTATTTATAACTGCTTACTCTGATTACCCATTAAAAACCAGAGATAGCAATGAACAAATTGAAAAATATAATTATTTCAGCTATCAACATAAATGTTAAAGAAACTTAACAAAATACTTACAAGAACAAACAGATCCAAACAGTCAATAATTCACTCAACACAATTACATGTTCAAAAATATTCACTCTATAAATTGTTTATTTGATATTAATACATCTAGAAAACGGCGTAACTCTCGAAAATAACTACGCGTATCAGGTGATGTGATGTAACAATAATTACCATGTGTTTTTGTATTCATTAGGTCAGCAGTGGCGTCAACAACGTGTTGCTAGGAAACTGGGGTTCAGAGTGCGACCGCGTGCGCGTCGACGTGCGCCGACCTTCCTACGTGGAACTACGACGTGCAATTTGGTGCACGTGCTGACGCGGACCTCAAAGGGACATTACATAACTGCAGGGACGGCGGACAAACGACACGGAGGACATCACTGACACGACCGTCAACCATCCGTTCCATATTTAGATGGGCCGCTAACGTCTGCGTCTTAGCTAACATCAGGCGACTCAGTAACATTTTTAGATCCGCATGTAAACGATACCTAACGTTACATGTTGTAAGCTGGGATAGACGCAACGCAATATTATTCCGTTGAGATTCAAGGAAGAATTTACAGAAAATACGCATATAGACTTAAAATGCGTAATGCTTACTCTTTTATTTATGACGAAAAATTAATCAAATATCTAGCGGACTATGATGGTAATGTGTACATATAATATAAATCTCACCTTATTGATGTCACGTTGGATTTAAACACAAATTAGAAATTAATAATAATAAACAGCATTCCGCGGCCACCGTTCTTGAAATCAACACTCAACAAACACTTCAACACCCAATCAAACCATAAACTAAAGAGTAACCTACATAAATAAAACATATGACAATTTGAAGTCTATGACTCACACTGATCTCTAAAGAATGGATAGGTCATTCCTCGAAAATGACAGATTGGCTTTGTTGCGACCGTGGAACTAGAAACTAACTAGAACAGGAATGAGCTCTTGTCGCAAAATCGAAGCCAAGCGAGACTCAATAACTGTCCCTTTTATTCCTTTCTGGCGATGGTGACTATGTTGTGACCCACAATCAGCATAATACTCGCTTCCGCAAGCCTCCACGACACAATTTCTTCCCTTTTTACCTAAAATTCTTCAAAAATATCACGAAATCAAAAAAGACACCGCCATTAAGGCCCGAGTCGGGATGTCATACGGGGTTGTCAGTTCAGGTGTCCGAATTTTAAACAAATAAAATAAAACATGTACGCTAATCGCAAAATTTTTGTGTTAATAAAGTTTTACACGTAGCAACAATAGTACTTCTTTACCGTGTCGGTAAACATTCACAAACATTTTAGAAGTAAATGTTTATACTTCATTACATTACATCAATCGCCTATTTTTCTACAAGCAACGAAAGGATTGATGTCTGGCAACTCTAGTTCACTGTTAGAAAGGGACACATCGGACAATTGTTGCCCTCTCACTCATGATCAATTTTATTTTGCGTGCAACAAGTTTCTTATGCCCTTACTGTAAGGTTTTATTTTCTTTATTTTACCTGTGAGATGTACAGATAGAACTCATTCCTGTTGTAAGTAATATTACCTCCATGGGAACTTATTACTTTCATGTTTTCTTCATATACTAACCGCTTGCGACGAAAGAAAGATATCACTCCATTTACAACCAACCGTACCTATCAGCGCTAAAATGGCGAAAATCAAAAAGGCACAAATAATCCAGATGGTAGCATATCCGTGTACAGAGACTACAAGGACTGGTCTCTGGATGAAACTGCCACGTAAAATTATATGTAAAGAATTATTTTGTGTTCAATTTCAATGATTCGTTCACCGCTTTTTTTATTTTATCAAGTCTGTATTGTAATTTTAGACGCTTAGGTGGTAGTCATAGTAAGTTGCTTTTAAATTGATAGTTCATATAAAAATACTATTTAAAATACTTTTCAACCTTAACATAAATTGTTAATTATTGTTCTATAAATTGTTAAAAAAAGCATAAAGTATAATCTATATACAAAATTAAATTCTTGAAGATGGCAACAAAACTCTTATCCAGAAAGAAGAAAACACGTTAAACTTGACGTGGACTTAACTAGCTGGCCCACTTTATTAAACAATAATGTGCTAGAATTTCTAACTATTGCATTATTATAAGACAAGTGATTTATTTCATTAATCAGATACATGTTATTTCTTGTATTAAGATGGCCTTAAATATCGTAAGTACATTTAAATTTCTGTTTAAAAGAAACCATTTGACAGACATTTTCCGGAATCGGTAAAGTGTATCGGTGTAATTTTTATGCGATAAATTATATTTATTTCACAGAAAATGTACACTGTTTTGTGTTCAATATTGCTACCATTACTTCTAAGTCATAATGCGGATGCTGCAGCAGTAATATCTATTGATTTGGGTTCGGAATGGATGAAAATAGGCATCGTGTCACCTGGTGTACCAATGGAGATAGTTTTAAATAAGGAATCTAAACGCAAGACACCAGCTGTGGTTGCGTTCCGAGATGGTGTGAGAACATTTGGGGAAGACGCTGTTAATGTGGGTGTAAGATTCCCGAAGAACACATATAAATTCTTCTTAGATTTACTGGGGAAGTCATTCGATCATCCATTGGTGAAAGCATACAGGTAAAACTATCAATATTGTATAAAATAACATTATTGACTAATTACTAAATGCATTTTATAGCAGTAGAGAGGGTTCTGATGACTTTTTTTCTACTTTTTTTGTTGAATTTTCTTACTGTATAATTAATGTTTTAGAGAAAGGTTCCCATACTATGACTTGGTGGCATCTGACCGTGGTACCCCAATTTTTGTACATGATGAGAACACTAAGTTTACACCGGAAGAACTAGTTGCTCAACTTTTAGCCAAGGCAAAGGAGTTTGCAGAAATCAGCCATGGTAAGGAGTTGAATTATTTTATTAATAATGTTAATTTAGAAATTATGTCTTGTCTTTATTTTGTTTATTTTGTACTGGTAACTTTGAAATGTGCAATTTTCTGTCATTCAGTCTCATGGAGATATTCTGCCTGTATATTTGATCATACAGAGTTATTATTTATATTCATGTACATAAAGCTTTGCCCAATATTTCTGTTGTCATAAAATTATATGGTTTTAGGCCAACCTATAAGTGAATGTGTAATCACCGTGCCTGGTTACTTCAACCAAGCTGAAAGGAGAGCTCTAAAAGATGCAGCTGCTTTAGCAGGACTTAATGTACTGCAACTTATTAATGATTATACTGCTATTGGTATTAACTATGGCATATTTAGACGGAAGGTGGGTATTTTCAAATGTCTGTTTATTATTACCTCTTTAACTCTCATTGAGAAGAGTGATTTTTTTTCCTTATGTATTTTTGCACAAATAAAAATCTTAATCTGGATTTATATATCTATTTCATACTGGCACTCTTTACTAGCTTTGCCTTGCTGGTAAAGAATGTATGTCTCTTTTCTGTCTTATCAATATCCTTCCTGTTGATGTAAAATATATTCTATGTTACTCAGTGATAAGTTAGATTTTTAATGTTTAAAATTTGTTCCAGTAGTTTTAGAACCTAATCAATGCAAACAAACAATTGAATCTTTCCTCTTTGCAATATTGTTATAGAATGCACAGGTTTCTATCTTCCAAGAATTTGTTAGTGTTTTTAAATTCACCATACTTTTTTTTCAGGAAATCAATGAGACAGCTTGGTACACCCTATTCTATGATATGGGAGCTGTTTCAACCAAAGCAGCTTTGGTCGAGTACAAAACTGTCAAGATAAAGGAGAAGGGTTATGTGGAGACTGTACCGCAGCTGCAAGTTATTGGTGTTGGATATGACAGGTAATGTTATTAGGGCATATGTTTTAATACTTTCAAATACTCTTGTCTCTTTTTTTAGCAATATTGGCTCTTACTTTGTATATTTATCTTCTACTGGCTTTAGCCTGCAATTTTCGGAGTGGAATTGAAATCCAAACTTAGTAGTCTTCCAAACAATATTTTAGGTCCATGCCATAATTAAGTTCTAATTTTTTTCTACTTTCTTTTATTAGAACCTTCTGAAAATAACAAACAAAACAATAATTAGTGGACTTGGTAAAGATTTCGAATTATTCACAAATTAAATAATACAAAATTCGTTTTATAGGACTTTAGGTGGTTTTGAAATGACATTGCGCCTTCGCGAGCACTTAATCAAGGCGTGGCTGGCCAATGGCGGAGGAGACGTGAGAGCATCTCCCCGGGCGATGGAAAAATTACTCCGAGAAGCGGAGAGATTGAAAATTGTGCTATCGGCCAACACAGAACATTATGCACAGATTGAGAATCTTCTAGACGATAAAGATTTTAAGGTTTTGGTAAGTAGTTTAAAATACGTATTTGTAATTATTCTGTTTCCTATTTAATACTGTTTTTGTTAGCACATATTAGAGAAAGAACATTCTTCATGCTAAAAGAATGACAATTTTATTTCATACTAATATTATATATGCGAAATGGATGGATGGATGTTTGTGACTATGCATATCTAAAATGTCTGAATGGATCTGGATGACATTTAAATAGGTGTAGAATGTAGTCAATGGTCTGGAATAAAAAATGGCTTTGTTTTTTAAATTTTTGGCTTTTATAGGTGACCAGAGCGGAGTTTGAAGAGCTTTGTTCAGATTTGTGGAGCAGAGTGTCGGGGGTGATCCAGCGAGCGGTGGCGTCCGCCGCGGGCTCGGGCGAGGGCGCCAAGCTGGTGCTGGCGGGCGGCGCAGCCCGAGCGCCGGCTGTGCACGAAGCCCTCCGCAAAGTCGTGGGACATGAACCAGCTCGGTCTATCAATGCTGATGAAGCCGCTACTATGGGAGCTGTCTATAGGTAACAGAAAATAGATTTTGTGTACATCCATATCTATACTAATAAAATAAAACGTAAACACACACTACATAGTTATGTAGGATGTCCGAATTCACAGTAAATTTTTGAATAGTTATTTTCTTTATTTAAAAGCCCTACATTTACCACATACTTTAAGCTATTTTTCACACTATTAAACTCAGGGAGCAAATCATTTGGAAAAATCTATCATGTGAGAAACGGACAAAATCTACTAGTTGACAATATCAAGGAAGCAAGGTTGCCATAGTAACGATAATTGTTATCCATTGTCAAAGGCCTGGTCTTTTGTGCATTTTGATTGTGACATTTGCATTTGATTATTTCACAAATGTAAACAGTAAAATAAAGTTATTATAATTCCATGCGGATGAAGCCGCACGGGAACAGCTCGTTATAAATGTACACAATAATTGATTGTTTTACTACAAGTTTGTTAAACTGACTTTAAAGTTTTAATTATTATTACAGAGCTGCATCTCTAGCTACTGGGTACAAAGTCGCTCCATTGAACGTTCGTGATGCGGTGCTACTGCCCATACAGGTCGTTTTCACTAGAAATGTTGATGGAAATGAAAAACTGGTACGTATTCTTCACACCTCAAAAAATTGTAATGATAGTCAAACTAACAGTTCTTTGAAAATACCAAGAGTTGATTTTTTTTAAATTTCAGATCAAGAGAACTTTGTTCGGTCCAATGAATCCTTATCCACAAAAGAAGGTAATTACTTTCAATAAACACACTGATGATTTCTCTTTCAATGTCAACTATGCTGAGCTGGATCATGTACCCTCTACTGAATTAAAATACATTGGTTCACTAAACCTTAGTCAGGTTACCTTGTCTGGGGTCAGTGAGGCTCTCGGAATGCATATTGGAGATAATGTTGAACATAAAGGTATTAAAGCCCATTTCAACATGGACGATTCTGGTATTCTCAATTTGATAAATGTGGAATTTGTAGCTGAAAAAACTGTGACAGATGATGATGACGATAAAGATAGTACTCTGTCTAAGATAGGAAGCACCATTAGTAAATTATTCGGTTCTGATGCTGAAACTCCAGAGAAAACGGAAGAAAAAACAGAAGATGTACCAAAAGAAGCGGAAAAGAACGAAACTAAAGCAAATGAAACAACTTCAGATAAACAAAACGCAACAGAAACTGAAACTAAACCTAAACCGAAAGTGGTTGTGCTTAAAGAACCGATTAAAAATAAAGAACAGATCTTAAACTTGCAACCATTGTCACAGGAACAATTTAAGGAATCGAAAAACAAAATTAAAGAATTGAATATCATTGATAAGAAACGCGTTGAAAGGGAATCCGCTTTGAATAATCTAGAAGCTTTTGTTGTTGATGCTCAGTTAAAGATAGATATGGAAGAATATTCTGAATGTGGAACTCAGGAACAAATCGAGGAAATTAAAAAGATATGCAGTGAAACATCGGAATGGTTGTACGATGAGGGTTATGAGGCTGATACAGAAACTTATGAAGCGAAATTAGCTTTGTTAAAAGAAAAAACTAACCCCATTTTCTATAAACATTGGGAACACAGAGAAAGGCCTGACGCCGTAGCTGCTATGCGAAATATGCTTAATTCTTCACAAGAATTCCTTAAAATGGCTAAAAATTTAACAAAGGACACAAATTCAGAACGCGATGTGTTTACAGATGTTGAAATTGATGTATTGGAGAAGAAAATCACGGAGACTCAATCTTGGCTGACCAAGTCAATTGAAGATCAGAATCAGTTAAAGAAGAATGAAGATATAAAATTGACTGTTGACAGCATTCGAGAGAAGATGTCTAATTTAGACAGAGAAGTGAAATATCTCGTGAATAAAATGAAGATATGGCGGCCGAAGAAACCAGTAAAGAAAGAATCGGATAATAAAACTGAAACGGTTATAGAGAACGAAAAAACCGATGGAGCGGAGAAGACGGAGAACCAAGAAGAGAAACCAGAGGTTCCTGAACAGAAAGAAGATACCGGCGGTGACGAAACACTGCAGATATCAGATGATAATCCAGAACATTCCGAATTATAATAGGTTTTCAAATTTAATTTATTAGTCTAATTTATTTTTTACATTGACAAACAATTGGAATTTGTTCACTTTTCGTATATTCAGTCTCGCACAAAAGTATGTTAAGTTATAGATGTCCTTTTGTTAATAATGTTTGAATATCCTTATTCCTCTTAAAAATTAAGCTTAAAGTGACATTACAATAAATGTTTTTTCTTAAGTGAGGTTAACTGCAGGTATGTATATGAAGAGAGAACAAGTTCTATGCAAGATGAAAATCTCAACTCTATGCGCCGCCTCTTTCATTTACTATCGCCGTATATAGACATAATATAGACGTTGAGTGTGATAAACAGTGCTATTATTTAACTATACTATTTAAAGTAAATTACCTTATAGCTCTTTTTTAAATATACCAGTACAAATTTATAATCTATGGTCGTAAATAGAACCACTCCGCGTCTATGGTCTGTCATAGAATAGTTAATTTGTCTATGGTTTTTTATATTTATTTGATTATCGAGCGGCGTCCAGAATGTTCCATATTTTTATGCAATGAACCCCAATATAATGATAACGCGAGTATGTATTCAATATGTGATATAGGATGATTGTAATTTTGCGAGTTTGGGACTGTTTTTCTGTTACCAATAAAGTTTTTTTTTCTTAAATTGGGTTGTTTTTATCTATTCGTTGATAAATTTAGTAAATGTATATTTTGTTTGTCAGTATTGTTAAGAATAATAGGTTTGTGAATGCGAAATGGCGGTTATTTGTTTTAACAAAACTTAATTTGTATATCTATGTATTTGTGCATTTATACTAACTTTCACTGTAACTTATTATTATAAATGTTTAGATTATTCTAAGATTTTGTGGATCTCTCTAAATGATGCGTACTCTGTAAATCAATTACGATATTTCAACATAAATTTAATACAAAATTTGCATTCATTTCTAACATTTATTTTCGTGAATATTCTTGTTTTATAAATAAATGTTGCTTTAGGTGATTTTCGGTATCAGAAAACAGTTCACGTAGTCTTACGTATTTGAGATTTGTCAACTGTACCCAGTCGCAAATGAAAATAAATTATTGAAAGAACATTATAATGTTGTTTTTATTTGTACATATTAAAATTAGCGATATTTTTAATATCAAACAAAACCTTACTTTTTTAATTATCACTAATATAAATGCGAAAGTTTAGATGAATTGATGGATTTTTGTTAGAGTTTGTAGCCTAAACTACTGAACGGAACTCGATAAGGCATAGATGTAGAGCATAGTCTGATAGAATCCATAGGCTTACTTACGTTGTTTTTTAATTCCACGGGGACGGAGTCGCGGGTGATAGCTATTCATTGAATAAACTAAATTAATCCTGCGAAAGAATTGTTTACGTTTTTTACGGGATACGATAGTAAACAAGCAAGTTAACAGTAGTAGTGCCCGCTATTACATCTTAGCACGAATGGGCCGGTACGCCCGGTGTAATACCACGACCACACAGAAGACAGGCGTGAAATGGAAGCAATTCCGTGTTTCGCCTGATGAGTGTGGTGCCGGAGGCCTAATTTAAGTCCTTTTCTCTTTACCACCCTTTTCTTATAAGGAGAGGATGGGAACGGGAAGTGGATTTGACGGTAGAGGAGGATACATAGAGAAATATCCTCTTTATGTGCATCTCCTCCTCTGTCGGATAAGGGTAGGCAACGCATCTGCAATTGCGGATGTCTATGGGCAGCGGTCGTTT